CAAATTAAAAATTTATTTTTGTTATTAAACTTTAATTTTTCATTAAAAATGACAATTTTTAGATTTTTATATAAAGTTGAATTAGTTAAAAATTTTAACTAATTTCACTCATTTTTTGCTTTTAAATTAGTTAAGTTTAACTAATTCGATAGTAAAAAAAAATTGTTTAATTAATTAGTTAAATTTTACTAATCCAAATGCAAAAAGTTGATCGCTAATTCAAATTTGTTAAAAAATTTTACTAATTCAAATTTAGAGAGATAGAAAAAAAATATGTTTTTTTCCGCAAAAATTATGAAATAGAAAATGTATTATTTTTGGAGATTTTCAATTTCTTTTTTTTCCCCCCAAATAATTCGTCAAAATTTTCTTGATGACACTGTATATAATGTACTGTGTGAGCAAACCTGAATGCCTGGCCAATAATTTATTGGAAAACACTTAGCGCTAACCGAATTGCTGGATATGAACCCTTCCGCACGTATATATATACATCGCAAGACCTGATTTGCCTTCGACCTTATTAATCATATCTGACGCTTGCGTATACGTATAATTGGATTTGAATAATTAACTGAAAGAAAAAAAAGAGAAAAAAGGAGAAAAAAAATTTTCTTTTTTTTTCACCCCCATTATAGAAATATGACTATTGTCGGAAAAAATATAATTCACGAACCGAGACACTTACTTAATGAGTTCTTCATATATATATAGATAAATTTTTTTTCACTCTAGTTTTGTTTTGCATCGAGAGAGAAAGAGAAAATATTTTCCTTACTTTTAGAATTTTGATCCTACTCAGCGACCTCATTTGCGTAATCAAGTTATAAAATGGTAATTATTTGCAAATATACACTGGAATATACCTCATTAAGAATTTAATCTTGTTAATTTCCAATTATATCCCAGTACATATTTAATTATTTTCTTCGAAACATGTATTTTTTAATGAAAAAAAAAAAAATTTTTTTCATTTCTGGCAATGATGTACAAAAAAAAATCCACTTTTCAAATATTTTTTTTTTTTTATTTAAAAAACAAAAAATTTTACAAATGGAAACAATTTTATTGTTGAAGTTTATAATAAAATTAGAGAATTAAATAGCTTTTTTATTATACGAGGGAAATAAATTTTTGAAATATATTTTTATTAATGTAAAAAGCAGGGGAAAAAATGTAAAATATTTTTTTGCATTCATATATTTTTCAAATATAATTTAATATATGGAAATAAAAGAATTTTTTTCTCTCTTTTTTTTAATTGAATTATTTATTTTGCAATTTAATTTATTTTCACTGTTGGAGAAAAGAAAACTGGTTCTTTACAATAAATTATTATGATAAAATAATTGGAAATAAAATTTTAAAAAAATAAATAAATATAATAAAATAAAAATTGTTTAATAATTTTTAATGTATAATTAAAATAAAATATAATTTTTCAATTCCCATTTTTGGAATTCAATTAATTTTCACATTTAGAAAAAGGAAAACAGGCACTTTACAATGTTCTTAAAAATAATTGGAAAATAAAATTAAATATAAATAAATAGGTAATAAATTTTATTTATTTTAATTTTAATATTAATTTATTAAATTTTTTATTATTTTTTTAATTTATAATTTAAAAAAATGTAATTTTTAATATAATTTTCATTTTTGCAATTCAGTTTTAACATTTAGAAAAAACAGGCCCTTTAGAATAAATTATTATTGTAAAATAATTAAAAATAAAATTGAAGAAAAATAAATAAATTTAATGAAATTCAAATTTTTTTTTTCATTATTTTTTAATGTATATAATTAAAAGAAAATGTAATTTTAAATATAAATCACATTTTACTTTGTAACTGATAGAGAAAATAGTAGAAAAAGGAGGAAAACTCTTTGAAATAACGTAAAAGTAAAAGCTCTTATCAAGTTTCTGATGACGATTTGAAGAAATATTTTTTTTTTTTTTCTCCCCTATACGACGACTGTTGCTGTAAAGCTAGAAAATATTGGTTCTTCAAAGGCCAAGCAGAAAAAACGGAAGTTAACAGACAGTCTGTGTCGTCGGAAGAAAAAGTCCAGTACAACTGTTTTCTAGAGCAGAAACTAACTGAAGATTAGAAGAGGTTCTTTTGAGAATTGTATATAAGTAGGTAGTCGCGAGTATAGATCCTATTGGACAAACGCTAAGATAGTAAAACCTTCAGGAGGGATATTTTTTTTTTTTCTCAAAGTAACTCAGAAAAGATGTTTTCTGCAAAAAAAAAAAAAAAAAAAAAAAAATTACAAAAAAAAATCCTGGCTTCTTATAAATTATTTTTATTTAATTAAAACTAATGAATTTCTTTGGGAAATTTTTTTTCTACAAAAATGTAGTAGTTTTACTACTACAGTTGTCCCTCGATAAATGAGATAAAAAAAAATTGTATTTTTATTTTATCTATAAAAAAAAATATTATAACGATTTAAACAAAATAAAATTTTTTTATTTTTTTTTAAATTAAAAATTATCGGGATACTACTGTAACATTAAAGATACAATTATTATTTAAACGAAAAATTTCTTTCAGAAAATTATTTATTTTTTTTTTGTAAATTTTTTTATATGAAAAAAAATGATTCAAATTCTAAATGTCACTATTGACTAAGTAGTTGAAACAGAAAAACCAATTAGAGCTTTCTGCCCGAGCTTTTAAAGCTTTACTTATGAAAAAGTCGAGAAAAAAAATGCCAATTCGTTGTGTTTTTTTGTTTTTTCTTTTTTTTTTTCTAAAGAAGAATATACAATGAAGTCTGTGGCTTTACTAATGGAGTGTAATCTTCTTAAAGTTCATTTTCTAGAAAGGAATATTTGAGAAAATAAGAAGATGCTGCATAATGCTAAACTCATTCTTATTTTCAATATATATAGTTATATAATGAAAAAGTAAAATAAAATACAAAAAAAAATTAAAAATATTAATTTAAAAATCTTAAAAAAGAAAATTAAACTTCAAGTCAATTTAAAAACTAAAAAAAAAATTAATTTTTTATTATTTAAAAAAATAAAAATTTTTTTTATAAAAAATATTAAAATTTATTATAGAAATAATGAAAGTAAATATTTTTCAATAAATAGGAGTTGAAAAGTATTTCTTTTTTTTAGGAAAACAATTTTATTTATAAGAAAAAGAAAAAGAAAAAAAAAATATATATATATATGTATGTATAAAACAAATAATTTCATTGGAAAAGTAATAAGAAGGATATTTGCCGGAAAAGCGTGTCGTCAAAGTTTAAAAAGATACTAAACAATTGTAGCAGCAAGTTTTGCCCCAAGGAACATCTTCTCCCTTCTCTCTTCAACTCGTTTCTGTACGAGATGAAGTATTATATGGATTACGCTCGAGTTACGACTTTACAATTTCTAAAATTACGACGTTGCTTCAACTTGAGAGACTGCAAAAATCTTCTCCTAAAATTTTATTATCCTCATCTTGAACAAGACTTTTGGTCCAAATGTAAAAATATCTACATCTTTATTTTTATATTCGCGTTAATTAAAACATATTTTTTTTTTTAATTTATTTTTAACAAATAATTTTTTTTTTTAATTTAAAATTTTGTAATTTTATTTAATTTTTTTAATAATTTAATTTTAATTTAATTTTAATTTAATTTTCAAAAATAACAAATAGTTTAATTAATTATAAATTAGTAATTTAAAGAACTGTTTTTTTGCAACTATAACAAAATTTACTAATTATAATAAAATTAATGATAAAATTTAATAATAAATTGATTTAATATTAAATATTTAATATTGAATTAATTTAATATTATAAAATTAATTAATTAATTAATTTAGTAATATGAATTATTAAATACGGGATTAAATTATTAATAATTCAAGTTATTTTGAATGATATTTTGTAATTAGGATAATTTTTTCAATAAAAAAATAAAACAAATAAATAAACAAATAAAAATAATAGTAAGAATAAAATAAATAAAAAGATAAAATTAACTCTTCTATTATTTAAAATTGGTCCAATTTTTTAAAGAGGAAACACCATCGAGTTATAATTTCGACATCATTTCAGAAATAGATGAAATATATTATCAAGGTTAGTGCTTTAATGATTAAATGAAAAATTAATAAATGTTCTAAAATATTATCGATAATTGTAATTTAATTATTTAAATGTTAATATTTTCTGGGAAAATATGCTAAACTAATGAAATTATTAATTATTTAGTCTTATTGTTTTTTTTACATTAAACTAGAAATAATAAGAACGTAATTTTTTTATTTTATTTATTTTATTATATATTATATTATTATATTATATTTTATTTTGTATTTATTTATTTTATTTTATTTTATAGTAAATTTTTACCTTTTATTTTATGTAGATTTATACCTTTTGTATAATATGTAACTAATATTATTTAAATATTTTAATTAATTAAAATTCTGTAAATTAATTCTCGTAGGAAAATTATTAATACGTAAATAAAAAATAAATAAAATAAAAAATAGGTCCATATTTTAATGTGTCGTAAAATTTATTTTGTAATGATGGAGAATAAATTTATTAATAAATAAATTTTTTTATTTATACATTATTTTAATTTATAGTAATTGTAAAATTTTTTTTTTTTTTTTTAAATAATTTTCTATTATTTTTTTATAATTTCTCTTGCCAAAGTTTAACAAAGAACACATATTTGTTATAACCAAATAACCATTTTAGAAACTAACTGCGGTATTAATTAAGTTAAATTTTGTATTAATTTTGCACACGTGTTTCCAACATTCTCTTGAGTTTAGAACTAAATTAAGCAGCTCATTTCGCGCTTCTCTACCACATACATATATGGAGTATTGAAACTTCTGCTTATAAACTAACTAATCTTTCAGGTAACTTTCGCTAAAATCCAAAGTGCAATACGAAAAGCAGAAAGACACGAAAAATTGAGATTTGAAAAAAAAAAAAAATTTTTTCTAATTTTATTTTTTTTCACAGATTGCAACTGACGATGACGATGAACCAAGTGAGGAATTTAATCCACCGCCGCTAATTACACCACCACCACCAAATGTCGATGGTAAGGAAAAAAAAAAAAAATACAGACATAAAAAAAAAATCGATTAAAAATGAAAACCCCCTTATTTTTCAAGCTCGTGGTATAAAAGGTGAAAAGGGTGACAAAGGAGACAAGGGTGAGAGTGTGAGAGGACCTCCGGGACCACCAGGTCCTCCAGGAGACGGCTTCGACCTTAATGACGAGGTGAGAACAATATTTCCCCTCCCATACTTCTTTCTTTAAAACACAAGTTGCATTATTAAACTTTCATTTTTCTTTTCTTTTGTGTTATCTATTTTTTTTTCTCATTCCTTCTCGCGATGTTTTTTTTTTTAATTCTTTTCTATTTAAGAAATCTCGAGAGAGAAATGGAAATTTCTACAAAAAAAAAACATTTTTTCCTTCATTAAAAAATTTTTCAAACATGAGATGTTAATTTTCGTTAATGTTGACATTTCACTGGGGCTATTCGAAATAATTAAGAAAATCTTTGTCTGAAATTTTTTTTCCATATTTAACCTTGAGCTTAAAAGCCGGAAATTTCACTCTGTAATGAAAACTTTTTTTTTTTTTAATTTTTAATGAAAATTTGTATACGAAAGGAAATTAACAGCAAAGTTTTATTAAAATATTTTTATAATTTTAATTAAAATATTCTGAAATTAGTAAAAAAAAAAAAATTCATTTTTGTTATTTATTTGATTATTTTTTGATAAAATGCGACACTTTCATTTTGAAAATAGGTAGTAAAAATATTTTTAGAAAATAAATGTCAATTTTTTCTTTTTGTTAAAAAATGTCTTGTCTTTTGTGATCGAAAAAACATAAATAATGTTTTTTTTTCTTTTTTAGGAATTCCATGAGAACATGCCAAGAGGACCACCAGGACCAAAGGGAGAACAAGGTGAATGCAGCTGTAACGCGACATCGTTGCTCACATCTTTCACGATGCCGAAAATGATTCAAGGTCCTAAGGGAGAGTCTGGAGTCGTTGGAAAAGAAGGAAAACAGGGACAAATGGGACTCACGGTACTGGAAGATAAACCGAATCCAAAGATATTTTTCTCCGTTTTGCCCAATGTCAATAAATCTCCCAACGACCATTCCACCTTTTGCCAATCTATATATATATATATATACTTTTTTTTCAGTATCAGTATTTCATAATTTTATACGTCTCGTCTGCGAGCAGTGCACCTTTGAAATGTCGATTTCTCTTACTATTTTTATTATCCACAGTGAAATTTGTTGCTTTCCATTCTATACGATAAAAACAAAATTTCCTTTTTCAAGTTTATATTTATAGAAAAGGAAAAAAAGAAACTCATATAATTTTAAGAGGTGAAAAACGTTTTATTTTTACACAAATTTTTATATACCGAGATTTATTTACAATGAATTTAAAATTATTGGAAATTTTATACGAGATTTTATTTATTATTAAATTTATATAAAAAAAAGTTTATGTTTTTATAAAATTTCCCAAAAAAAAAAAAAATTAAGTTTATTTGTCTCCTATGAAAAATTGTATATAATATCTTAATTATTTTCCGACTATAAATTGTCAGATGATATTCTATAATACGTGGGTACTTTATTAAAATGACAATTTAAAATAATATTCTCCTTCAGCTAATAACTGAAATTAAGAATTAATTACTCATTAATTAAATAATATTAAGAATTATTAAATAATTACTAGAATAATAATTAATGAAATAATTAAGTGAATATTTTTTAATTTGTAAAATTTTATTTCGCAGGGTGTAGCTGGACCACCGGGAGAAAGAGGACAGCAAGGTGCTTTTGGTCAGAAAGGTGATAGAGGCGAAATTGGCGCAATGGGACCAGAAGGACCTCAGGGTCAAAAGGGTGAGCCCGGAAGGGATGGAATTCCAGGGGAAAAAGGCGCTCTTGGACCGCCGGGTCCTCCTGGCAAAGGGGAATTTTCTGGTTACGATGTGAGTTTAAAATTCCAAAAAGAAGAGAGATACTCTCAAATTTACTAGAATTAACGAGAATTAATTAATTCCAGAAATTAATTTTTTACATTTGTGTAAAATTTTCATTTTTTTATTTTTTTTTGTATCACAGAAATCACAGAAACAAATTTTTAAAAATTCTCTTTTCAAAACTTTGAGAATTGCGGGGAAAAGTAAAATAAATATTTAAGGGACCAAATGTAAATACATTTGTAAAAAAAAATTTGTCTTTGACGTTCTTTGAACAGAAAATGAAATATTTAGTAAAATTCACGTTTTGGTTCATCAAAAAGGGATTTTTTTTTCTGAAACGATAATTTTTAGAATTTCCTTTTACTTTATCTAAAAGAACAAAAAAATTCCATCTAAAAATATATAAATGTCAAGCATAAATTCTGGACCATTTTGAAAATTACGATAAAAGTTAATCTGGTTAATTCGTATAGATAAATATTGTGGAGAGAGATTTTGCAAAAAAAGAGAAAATGCAATGGAAATTGAAGGGATATAAGAGAGAGAGAGAGAGAGGAATATTAATTTTATCTCTACCTTCAATTTGGAATTCAGGATCTTTATCGCGAGTAATTTCTCTTTCTTCCCTTCCCATACACTAGACATGAAATACGCTGAATAGTAGTGTGTAACGCTTATTGCACCTTTGGGAATAGATAACCGTATTCGTAATGCGCGAACAGGTCGGACTTTGCAACCTTCCTATTTCCCGATCTTCTGCTCCCCACTTTCTACTCTCTCTCACACATATATATATATATATACACACAACATCATTTCTTATGCGAATTCTCCCTCTATTCTCTTTACAATTCTTGTTTTCTGGTAATACAAGATTCTAAGTCACGTTCATGGGACCATCTGCTAAGAAAATGTGCACGCTATGTGTACACTTGAAATGTACAACCAAATGGAATAAGCATGTATACGAAAATGAAAGCGCAATGCTCGTTAGCAAAGAACTTCTCTCATTAAAAAAAAAAACAAACAAAACAAAAGCATCCGAAAAAATCCTTTCCCGATTTTATTATCTTCCGAATGTAAATATAAATTTTATATTTTATATCAACGGTAATAAAATTTTTAATTCTACCAAAAAGATAAATAATATTTTTCCGAGAGAAAGTTGTAAAAATATTTTCTATTAAAAAGTTTTAATAACATTAAAAATTTTTTTGAAATAAATACAAAAATACATTCTATGTAAAAAAAAAGAGTGCAAAAAATAATCTCAATATTGACCAATTATCGATAAACTATATTCTCTTCGGTTTATTTATGTCGAATCATTCGTTAATTATAATGGTTTTAAAGCAAATAGACTTGTATCGCTGATGAAGTCAAATGGATTACCTTTAACAATTATTGGAAATTGTACATACATTGCTATATAGAGAAGAATATATATATATATATATATTCTCAGCTCACCTGTTTTTCTTTATTTTGAAAAAAAATAAATAATTTGAATGAAAATAAACTGCAAAGTACATATTCATAAAAGATGACTATCTCTTGCTCTAATAAATGACTTTTACTTCTCATCATTAAAATATTCAAAGCCACTGCTCACACAATATAGAGATGAAAGGATCACGGTATAAAAAAAATTGTTCCATTATTTCTTTAAAATGTCTCTATGGAGATTACAGTTTTCTGGTAGAATTTCAATAATTTTACAACAAAAAATATTAAAAATAAAAATTTGGCCTTTTTGAAATTTACATCGTCAAGAATCGAAAATTCGGAAAGTTGAAAAAAAACGTAGAGAATTAAAAATATTTTATAAAATTATTTAACAAATTAATTAATATTTATTAATTAGATATTATAAATAATTTAAAATTATCAAGAAATAAAAATAATAAGTATAAAATATTTATTTTGATGCTTATCTCTTGAGCGCATGTGAAACAAGATTTTGGTCTAAATGGATGCAAATCATCTGTCTACATCCAAACCAACGTATTACCTTACAGATTCCTCTATAGACAATTTGATTTCCCTCTGGAATACAATTTCCAATTTCTGGTTTGACTAATAATGTAAATTTCTATTATACGAAATTCAATTTCAGGCAAATTATTTTAAAAACAGTATGATCAATTTTTCTCTTGTTTCACGATAATCGCAAACTCAAGTTCATAATCAAAGTCAAACAAAAATATTATTCACTGAATTTCAAAATTATAAATTTTATAAAATATTTCGAATTTTTAAAATTAAAATTTAGGTCAAAATTTCCTATTTTTAATTTTAATTTTTTAATTTTATACAGAGAAGTTTTGACCAAAAAAAAAGAAATATCGATAATTAATTGAGCTAACAATATAATTTTAAGAAGAAGTATAAATTGTATTTTAATTAAGTAAAGAGAGTTAATGAGTTTTAATTAAACAAGAGCTAAAGGATTTTAATTAAAATACGAGTTAACAAAATATCAAATCGAAAATAATTTCTCTTAATGACAGTGAAATAAGTTTTTTTTTTTTATAGGTCTTGAATATTTTCACAATTTAAGAATAGAATTTACCCTTTTAAAAGTAATTAAAATTTTCACAGAAGTAAAATATTTGAGTTAATTAAAATCTTAGAAATTGCGATACAATTTTATATTTTTTAATTTAATAATAAAAAAAAGAAGATGCAAGTTTCTTTTTATCATATTTCTTTTTATAAAAATTTCTCAGAGAGAGAATTTTTCAATTCACGATATAAGTGACTTCGATTTCAATCCGTTAAATATTATATTAAAAATATTTAAATGCATTAGGTAATCAATTTAAAAAAAATGAAATTAAAATAACGAGGTAAATTATCACACGTGCTTGATGAATTATTGACATTTCGTTTGATAAATGAATTATATAAACAGTCATAAATGACAATAAGCAACGTGAGATGCTTTCAACAATCAAGATGCAAATGTATATATATCTATATACATTTGAAGCTCGGTTTGAGGCGAAGGAACGACGTTAAGGAGTTGTACTATGTGCAATTACATAGGTTTCATGATTCAAGATAATACAAGCTTGTTATATATATATATATATATATATACGTTATCCGATAAAGTAACATTGTATGGATTCAAGAGACTTTAATAGAACCAATAAGCTTAATTTCCCTCATATTCCTGTTTCCTATCCAAATTTACAAACTATTGCAATCAGCAATAGAAAGTCCTCAAGTTTATATATATATATAGTGTAAACGAGTAATTGTACAGACCTAGTTTTACGAAAACTAGATCGACAAGTCACATTTCAAATTGAGATACCCCTTTTGCTCCATATTTCACAATTCAATAATTAAACACTGCAATTTCCACTATTATGTGCAAGCAGCCTAGTTGGAAACCTCGCAGTGGATACAGGGTGAGTATATTAGTTATATAAAAATGATGATGAAAAATTCATTCATATGGTATCCATCAAATAAAGAAACTTCAACTTTATTCCAATAAAATCCAATGTATATTTAATTCATTTACTGTATATAGAAAATTATTTCGATTTTACTGTCGGATTGTATCAGATATGCGCAACAAGTTTCAAATAGTAAAAACTCAGGAAATTATAATTTTATCCTCGATATTAATTTTTTAATATATTTGAAATTATCTCCAATTGAAAATCATAATAATATTTTACACGATTATAATTTTATTATCTCGAAATATGTTTATTCGAATAGAATCGAATCCTTAAATATTAAAAATAATAAAAAATCTGTTTTATTATAAAAATAAAAATTTTATTAATAATTTTTAATTTGATTTCACTAAAAAAAATACAAAATTATTTTTAGGGTGAAGGTACACCGATGAGACCAGGATTACCAGGACAAAAAGGCGATCCAGGAATGACGGGCAATACTGGACCAAAAGGTGAAATGGGAATTGTAGGAAGTAAAGGAGCAAAAGGTGAAGTTGGCCATAAGGGATCGAAGGGAGAACATGGTAAGGAGGGACATAAAGGAAATCAAGGATTTAAAGGCGAACCTGGCGCTCCGGGTGTTCCTGGACTTCCCGGTGCTCCTGGTGAAAATGGAAGACCGGCTGAAAAAGGCGCGAAAGGTGACGCGGGTCCAGAGGGAAAATTAGGCCCTGCTGGACCACCTGGACCTCCTGGTACTGGTGGAATTAATGTTGGCGATACCGGCAAGTTTCACAAATTTTAATCAAAATTATTTTTTTTTTTTTAATTCTAAATTTCGATTTTTCAAATTCAAAAATATAAAAACTCTTCGATTATATGAATTTCGAGAATATTGTAAAATTTGGACACTCGTGGCTTTTTTTTTTTTTTAAGGTAGTCTCCAATTCGATATGTCGAAACTTGAAACTTTGAAATTCGACGTTATAAAATTCTCTGACTGTGGAAATTGGAGATAAAATTTTTCTGCTCGTAGAACAATTAAGGTTTGAAAAAGAATGCAAATAACTGGAAAATCGAATAAATCAGAAACTCGATTTGAGAAAAATAGAAATTTTTTTTTTTTAATAAGTTAAAATAGACTTCGTTATAAAAGGCGACTAAGTAAATATATGCGACAATCAAATATTAAATTCATCAAATATAAAATTGCTTCAATTATTATGTTTCCATTTAAATATTTACATTATAAAAGAGAATTCAGTGAATAAATTAAACTACACGGCAAGACCAATAATTATCTGATGATTGGTGCTTGTCAGTACAAATAGGTTTATCTCATCATCAGAAGTGAAACATTTAACTGGGGCCATTAGTCATGTTTGAGCGATAAAAACAAAAGGCCTGCGATTAAAAAAAATATATTTTTAATTTGAATATATATTTTTTTTTTAATAAAAACATATTTTTTAATTTAAATTGATAGGATGAAAAAACGTATTTACTAATGGACGAAGTATTTATTGTTTTAATAGCTGCGGGTGTCAAAGGGGAGAAAGGAGAGCTAGGCAGTTTTGGTTACAAAGGTGAAATTGGATTGAAGGGTGAGAAAGGTGATAAAGGAGATTTTGGACCAGCTGGAATTCCTGGTGTGAATGGAGTTCAAGGACCGCAAGGTGAAAAGGGTGAACCGGGTAGGGATGGAATTCCGGGTTCCTCTGGGATTCCGGGATCAAAAGGTGATCGGGGCGAGAGAGGTCCACCAGGTCCTACAACAATCGCTGGCTCCGGCGATTATATTACAATCAAAGGAGAAAAAGGATCTGAAGGTAAAAAAGGAAGACGAGGAAAGCCCGGAAATCCAGGAAGTCCAGGTCCACCTGGTCCAACTGGGCCACCAGGTAAACCTGGAAGTATTGGAGACATCGGTCTGCCTGGATATATGGTACGTTATTTTTATTTTTTTTAGTTTAAAAATATTTTCCATTAAACGGAAATTAAATAATATTAATTATTTATGTTGTTGCTTATTTAATGCTACTCTCTAGAATAAGGTAAGATGAAATTAGAATTTTTTTTTCCGTAACTAAAAATTATTGAAAATTATTTTTATTTTTAATTATTAAAACAAATGTTTATGAAATATTTTTTGTTATTTCAGGGCCGGCAGGGAAATCCAGGTATTCCCGGAAGTCAAGGATCTGTGGGACCAAAAGGTGATAAAGGAGAACCTGGTGCACCAAGTCCTTATGGAGTTCCTCTTGGTGTAAGTTTTTTTTACTTTAATTTTACATAATGCAGTTACTTATACTTAAATTATTATTACATGGTAATACTATTTTTCATTTTTTTTTGTAAATAGAATAAATAAAGAATATTTCATACAATAATAAATTAAATTAAATAAATAAAAATAAAAAATACGTTTAAAAAGTGTATATAACATTTCCAATCTGACTTTTAATAAAAGAGTTAGTAAAGTTCCAATCTCAACAGGTTTTCTATCAAATACTCGCGGACAATAGAAAAGCAATAGAATTTCGATAACTGCATCTACATCAGTGGTGCTAACTCTTTTACGTTTTTCTTTTTTCTCTTTTTTATCCTGTATCCTGCACACAGTACCCGTGAGACTTCGCAAATTAATTGCAGGCATTTAATTATCTGGTGTTTCAAGTTCAATAATTGCACGGAAAGAAATAAAATGAGAAGAACTATTTAAAAAAAAAAAAATTGACTTTCGTTAAAAATTCATTTAATTTTTCAATCTTTTTCTCTCTATACTGTAATGAAATATTCTATTTTTATATTTACAAAATATTTGAAATTCTTTTCTCTTAGAAACATTAAATAATTAAAAATAATAAAATTATAATTTTAAACAAAAATGTAAAATTAATATACAGAATTTATGAAATTGAATTTTTTTCCTAAATTAAATTATTAATTAAATAAAAATTTATTTGAAATATTATTGTAATTAAATTTAATGAGTGAATTTTGAAAATATTTTATTTAAATAGTTAAAAGGCGAAAAGGGAGATGATGGATTTCCTGGAATTCCTGGTCAACCTGGTCGAGATGGACAGAGGGGACCTCCGGGATCTACAGGACCACCTGGTCCCGCAGGACCTATGGGACCAGCTCCCCAAGGAAATTATATTCCAGTTCCAGGACCACCGGGACCACCGGGTCCTCCTGGTACTCCTGGACTATCGTTTGTCGGTCAAAAAGGAGAACCAGGAATAGGCAAAAGCCATTTCTTTGCTGAAAGAGACTATTATGGTGCCAGACAAGATACAAGTAAGATTATTTTTTATATTATTCATTTTATTTAAAAAGTGGAATTTAATTTTTTTTTTCCCTGTGAAAATATAACTTGTTACAAAATAGAGAGAGAGACTGGAAATAAATCCCAGTCGTCTAAATATTCAAATCCTTTTCATTAACTGAAATTGGATTAATCGTTCCGCTTTAATTTAATATTCATCTCTGCATTTGTATTTCACTACTTTTTATTGTCAGTTCGTTACTTTTTTTTTAAATTTATTCCCGTCACATAGAAAACCATTAAGTTATTAAAAATGTAAATTTATAGTTTTTCCCTTTTTTAAAATAAAATATTTATTTACTAATAATGATTTTTATTTTATTTGTTTATATTTTTTATATATTAATTGTTGTGATACTTAAATTAGAAGAGATAATAAAAAATTAAAAAAATATTTTTCACATGCTACAAGGATTTAAAAGTAGTTTGGATGAGTTGAAAGCATTAAGGGAATTGAAACAACTCAAAGAATTGAAAGAACATTTAGGTACGATAATATTTTTTTCTACATGGTAAAATTGTATGTACATGTAAATATTTTTTTTATAATTGTCAAATTTAAATGTGTTCTAGGAACAGGTACGGTCTCGACGAGAGGTCCTCTAGAAAGCACAACGAAAATAGTACCAGGAGCTGTGACATTCCAAAATACCGAAGCCATGACAAAAGTATATTTATTTTAGAATTAAATTTAATTTTTAATTACTTTTATTGAAAATAAAAAAAAAACCTTTTTTTCTCAGATGTCCGGCGTTAGTCCTGTAGGAACATTAGCTTACATTATTGATGAAGAGGCTTTATTAGTTAGGGTGAATAGTGGTTGGCAATATATTGCTGTAAGTATTTAATTTAACAAATATTTTTATTCTTGAAAAAAGTAATAAATTGAGTTAATTAAAATTTTAAGTTAATCTAAATTAATTTCATTTTATTGAAATTTTTCTTTATTATAATTAAAATACTTTAAAACAAATTTTTCTTAGAAAATAATAAATAAATAAAAAATAATTTATCAAAGAAATTATTATTATTAAAAAATTTTCAGCTTGGTTCTCTTTTGCCTATCACAACTCCAGCACCACCAACTACCGTTCCACCACCTGCAAATCCACCATTTGAAGCGTCAAATCTTATCAATCAAATTCCAATAAAAGCTGACGGAACAGGAGTAAGTTTTATTTTCATTCTATTTTTATCTTCAATACAGAAAATAATGTTTTATTGTGAATCATTGACAGATAACAAAAATCGAAACGACGAAAAATCTTTATTTCAAATTTCTTGAAATAATTTACTATTAAAATTATATACTAAAAGATAAATTTTTTCATTAATATTTATTATCAATTTATCTTAATAATATATTTATTTGTCATTTCATTTTATTATTTTGTCAAAGACGCAGTTAATTAATTTCAAAAAAATAATTCATTATTATTTTTCTTTTTTGTACATGCTCAGTGGTATCCACGAATGGTAAGAATTCTTGATTTATTAACAGAAAATATAATTACAGGATAATTTAATAATAATTCAATCAATTATTAAATAAATAATTTATTAACTTGGACATAAAAAGCGGGAATTTAATGAGAAAAATAAGAGAGAGAGAAAAAGAACTTCAAATCTCACTTTATTCCTTTTCTCATCTCTTTATTCTCTTGTTCTTATGACAAAAAAATATTATATAGAAAAAGTCAAACAGACTTCTAATGATATTCTTTCCCATAATTTTTTTTCTCAAACGAAAAGAAAAACGGTGGGTAAGAAAATTATTATAGAAAAATAAATTATATTTTTTGTTATATTACAATTTTTAATGTCAATAATTAAAATTATATAATTATTGTTATTTATGTGTTAATGATTGATAAAATTTATTTTATTATTGATATATTTCTATTTATATTTTATTTACATAAAAGAAACAATTGAGATAGTGGTTTTATGGTTACAGTTTTAGATTCTAAAAAGGGTGGTATTTCTTTTTTCAGCTGCGAATGGCAGCTTTAAATGAGCCTTTTACTGGAGATATGCACGGGGTTCGTGGAGCTGATTATACTTGTTATCGACAAGCAAAACGAGCAGGCTTAAGAGGCACTTTCCGTGCTTTTCTTAGCTCGAGAGTTCAGAATGTTGACAGTATAGTTAGACTAGGTGATAGAGATCTACCCATTGTAAATATCAAGGTACGTGTAATAATAAATTTTTTTTTTTTTTCATATTTTAAAAAGTCAAATAAATTTATGAAAATTAATTTTTTTTCATAAAATTAAAAATAAAATTAGTCAATTATTAAAAAAAGAATTTATATTTTTATTTAACAAAAAAAACAAATAAAAATATTTCAATAGATTTTTTTGTTAGATTAACAAGTAAAATTGTCAAAATAAAATTGTATACCGTAACTCAATTTCATTTTAATATCACTTGAATAGTTTTTTCAATTTAAAAATGGATGACACGATTATATTTGTATCGGTACATTACACTAATATATTGATGAATTGAAATAAATATATATATATATTGATAATATGGATACTGTTCATTCAATTATTACAAGAGATGTTCAGATTTTGCTTTGTTTCTCAACAAAGGGAGGGAAAAAGAGAATAATACTTCATTTGACTATAAATCTGGCATCAGGTGTGTCGTAATTTGATTAGTGAAATGAAACTTTAGCACACAGGTCGTCGAGTTTGAATCGATTTATACTATATACAGTTGGATGATATAAAATACCTGTGGCTTTTTCTAATTAAAAACACTGCCTCGATTGTCACACGAATCCTCAAATAAATACGTTTCTCTTCTATATATCTATATATAGAGAGAAAATTACATTAAAATGCAAAATTAAATAAAAACCTACTAATATCAATTAGTTAATTTGTTATTTTGTTTGTGCTTTTAATATTAATTATTTTTCATTGTGTATTTCCTTTGTTGAAACTGAAAAAAAATTAAATTTTTATTATCTGATTGAATTTTTTCGTTATCGTTTGTATTTTGTTCAATTTATATTAAATTGGTTTAAATTATAAAATAAAAATAATAATAAAAAGTTTTAATAAATGAAAAAATAAGATAGATAAAAATAAAAGATAAGTGAAAAAAAAAATTAATGTATGTAAAATAAAATTTCAGGGAGACGTTCTTTTCAATTCATGGAAGGAAATGTTTAACGGAAATGGAGCATATTTCTCCCAAAATCCACGAATTTATAGCTTCAATGGAAAAAATATTCTTACCGACTTCGCTTGGTAAGATAATAATTATATAAATAATTTTCAATCACATTTTAAATTTTGTGATTGGATTTTTCCCTACTTGAGAAATTTTGTTTTTAATTCTAGATTTTTTTTCTATTTTAATGAACTTTTTTAATTTCACAGGCCAGACAAAGTGGCTTGGCACGGTTCTCATACACTCGGTGATCGTGCAATGGACACCTATTGCGATGCCTGGCATTCGAGTAGCTCTGATCGCTTTGGTCTTGGATCTCCATTAACTGACGGACGATTACTGGAACAAATTCGTTACTCGTGTGACAATAAATTTGCATTGCTCTGCATAGAAGTCACCAGTGAACTTGCGCGGAGACGAAAACGCTCGGACGATCTCTTCGAATTATTGGACAATGAAGACAATGAACTCACGGAATTGGAATATCAAGAACATTTAGAGCAAGTTATGAACAATTGACCTAATATACGTAAGACAGTCGAAAAAATGAAAACTCTCTCTGTACATAACAAGCCAAAAAAAAGTCGAAGTATATATATAATCACAGACGACAAATTTGACCCGTCGATGCATATCTTTGACTGATACATATCTAAGCGATCGCAGTATCATTAAAAAAAAAAATCAGGTAAATGTCGTCATACGATGTGGATACTTCATACATCATGTTTTATTCAACAATTTTTTTTTTAAATCATCTTTTCATAATAATTTTTCATTTTAAATATTTTTTTAGAGTATTTCAATTTTAAAAAGTTTCTTAAGAGAATAATATAGTACAATTTATAGATGTATTATTTAATTTATTTAGTCAAATTTTATCGTACACTTTTTATTTATGAAATACTTTGATATTATTTAAAAAGTTTATTTAAAAAATATTTTGAAATTTGTTATTATTAGTATTATAATTATTAGATTACTTTAATTAAATACAAATTTAATTTATTATAATTTAATATAAATTATAATGTATTTCAAATTATTTTAAAATTGAATTTATGTAATTGAATTCATATATTTCAATTTAGTATTTTTAAATTTTATTTATTTTGAATTTAATTTCTTTTTTTAATTAAGATTTTTTTTCTTTTTCATATACATATATATATACACACACGAAAACTCATGTCGTCAATTTTTTTTCACCCTGGTGAAAGAAAATCAATGCAGTATTTACTGATTTCCATTAATTGAAAACTCAGTTCTGGATTTCAATGGGGAAAAAAGTTTTTTCAAATTTTTATGAAAAAAGTTATGACTCATCTCATATTAAAGTTTCGAGATCAGCTTCTCTCTTAAAAGTGCAAAGAAACTGTCAAGGGAAACTTGATGAAGATAAAAAAGAATTCAATATACGATTTTTCAGGTAATTTTATTTCATTTTCTTAAAAACTTTTAATTTTGATATTTGGGTTTTTTTACGAGAGAAGAGAAAAAGTGAACTATTCAATACTTCAATTTTTTTATCGTAAAAGACTGATCATTTGGTGATATATATATATATATCTTTCGCACAGTGCAACGGTGATCCTTATTTTTTGTTACTTGTCACTTTTTTGCAAAAACTTGCTTTATAAATTTCAAAAGTTCTTTTATTTCTACTAAAGTAATTTCATTTTTTTTTCAAATAAAATTACTAATTAAAATTAGTAAGTACAATGTTGAATTAAAAAAAATTCTAACTCAATAATCAATTTAAATAATCGATTTTTTATTAAAAAAATAAAAAATAAGGATCATTTTTGTTGGTAAAATTTGAATCATGTCATATTTTCGAAATCATTGTACGCGTCCAGTACTTATCAATATCTTTAAAAATCATTAAGACGAATAAACTTGTACAAGTCGTAATTTACTGCCTAGAACATAAAAACACAGCTCTAAAATTTAAGTAACTTAAAGAAAAAAAGATTGTATCCATATCAATGCATTTACATTAATTAGTAAATACATGAATGTGTATGTTAGACTTTAAGAAGACACATCGATTTTAACAACCAGTATCCAATACCGACGAAAAAAGAGAATGAAACTTTTACAAACTGCGATTTTTCCAATTTTACCAAAAAAAAAAAAAAAACAACACTGAATTGCAACGAAATTGATTTTTATGATAATTTTTTTCATCTCTACACGATAAGAATTATGTTAAATCAAATATTGCGGATTAGAGTAATTTTTCAACAAACATAACAAAACAATTTAAACAAATTGGCTAGAAAACTTTTCTATTATTCACATTTTCAAAATAAAAAGTACAAAACAAATATTGTCGTGTGGATATGAGAGAATTGCTGTCGATAATATTCAATCAAATCTTTTAGGTATATAAGTCATCATAATTTTTTTTTTGCTTTTGCATTCTAGTCCATTTATCCAAGTTTAAAAAATACTCAAACGCGACAGAATATGAACTTGCTTACTTTATTTATATCATTTTTTTTAATTTCATTATTTCACAATAGTATTTAACATAATTTAAAATTTTATCTACTAAAAAGTTATTTAATTATTTATAGAATTTAAAAAAAATAATTGAATAAAAACGTAAAAATGTTTAAAAATTTAATGATTATTTATTCTTAAAAAAAAATGTATTCTTTTAAAAATCATTTTTTAATTATTATTTTACGATGATTAGGAAAATATTAAAGTAAGCAAGTTTCACTTAGAGAAATAAAAATAAAATAACAAATATGCAAACCACATATAAAGAAATATAAAAGAAAGAGACAAAAAAATGTTTTTCTTTTTATTATAAAACAGCTTTGACTGCCATTCTCAAAGTGATAACTGTCAAATTTACATCTGAGATTACAAAATGCATTAAAAAAAAAAAAAAATTTGCAAACTCAGATTATTTACTGTCGTTTATTCACGTCGAATTTCATACCGCAGATTTACATTCAAAGTAAACTGAATCTAAGTCAATGTCTACAACTTGGAGATATTAATATCAATAATGTTAGTCTAATTTATTACAACTAGAGCAGAGATTAAAAGAGACTTCTCATACTTCATTAAAAAAAACTCAAAAATCAAATTCCATTTTACATGCAATTTAAAAAGATTTAAATAATAAAAAAAATCCCCCAAAAATTCTTATCAAATTAAAATCATCTACGAGTGAATTTAATCTTTCTTCTAATCTCTGCGCATAATAGAACAATGATTTATTTCGCCTGTGAAATTTAAAAAAAAAATCGAGAAAATGTATTATTGTGTGCTGAAATGTGAATCAATTATTTCGTTATATATGTTTAGAAGAGAAAAAAAAACGTTTTCGTTTAAAATTTTGTATTATTTATAAACTTTATTGTTTTTTAAATAAAAAAGAAACGAAGAGCAAAGTTTTTATATTTTTATATTAAACTACTTAACGAAATAATTTAATAAAATTTTCAGTTTAAAATATTAAATTACATTTTAAATTCTCAGCATTCTCGAGAACTTCAATTTCAATGACATGACATCGTTGTGGATAATAAAAGAAAAGGTAATTATTTTGTTTTACAAAAGTTGTTTATTATGAATATTTATACAAAATATAATTTTTAAATGCTAGATTTAAAAATTCTTATCGCTAATAATGGTACATTATTACCAGAAAAAAAAATTATTTTACTCAAATTCAATCACGATTTCAATATTTCCAATGCTTCTAATAATTTCAATTCCTCAAGAATTTCAGCAAGATTTTCTATCGATGCATCTTCAACTTCTTCCGCCCAAATTTCTAATGATGTTTTACATTGTTCAAATTGTGTCGGCTTTCCTTGAAAATATTTAATCTGTAAACAAATCAAATGAATATTTAAATTTATTTTTCTAACACACTTTTACTGTTAAATATATTTGGAATTCTTTTTTTTTTCTTTTAGATTTAGAAAAAATACCTACCTCATTATCCTTGTATCCTAACTTAGTCGCTAACTTCTTCCAATCGCCTTTCAGTGCTTCTGACAACTTTGCAATCATTTCCGGGGTAAGTTTATTTATCTTTGGAACTTTATCTAAAGTTTCAGCGTCAGTTTGATCAGATTCTTGTTTTAAAACATCTTCACAGAATTCTTGATCAGCTGACTGAGGCGGCGTATCATCAGCTTCGATTTTTATATCAACTTGAGTTAGCTGAAAATAAATAAATAAATAAATTATATAAATATATAATTTTTGTTTCAAACAATTATATTCACAAGTAGAAAATTAATTTTTAAAAAACTTACCGGTCGATCTTTCGCAATTTTCTTAATCATTGTTTCTAAATATTCGGGAAGTTTATTTATCGGATAATTTCCATGAACAAAAAAATGTGGACTACGTCTCGCTAATAATCTTAACGCTCTCCAACCGAAATTTCCATCGTTGACTTTCCTAAGGGAATACAATTTTTTTTTTTAAAACAGTATTAAAGAGAAGAAAAGTATATTTTTATATTAAATTTAAATCTTACTTGTATTCATCGTCCACCATTGCCGCTGGATCCAATTCGATAATTGCATCTTCGAAATAAGTTTCCAAAGATGGTAGAAAATCTCGTTCTTTTGATTTACAGGCTTCTAAATTATTTGGATTCAAATTCCACAGTTTCGTCAATTCGGGACTGAAATTTTTTTTAATTAAATTAATAAATTTAAAATAGAAAATAAAATAGATTTAGCATAATTTACTCACTTTCCCATATGATATTTTCCAACGAGTTGTGCTTCTTTAATAAAATCACCAATTTTTCGACGAGATCTTTTTGGTTTTCTTATATCCTTTGTGTCATCTTCATTTGATTCTGGCGCCGGTCTTTTAAATGCCGGACAACCTTCATTCTTCCAAGCATTCCAATGCTCTTCACGAGCTAAAATATGTTTAACCGTTTCGGCAAATACTCGACCATCGGGTGGAGTTTCAATGAGTAGCGAATAAACTTGATCTGTTGTCGCTTTCACCCACTCGGCCTGATAAGCTTTCAATTCGTGTGTTTCCCTGCATAAAAAAAAAACAGTAAAGAAATCAAATATATTTTTTAAAATTTTATATAAAAATATACTTACGATTTAAATTTCACAGTACTATTCAAGTACTGAAATAAAATGAGAAACTGAAGCAAAACATATCTTCGAAAATTTGTATCCGAAAGCTGAAGTTCGAGTAATTTTTGATTTGTAAGATATTTCGCAAAATAATGCGTCTCTTTATGCGATCCCTCCATTAAAGAATCATCTTTTATTGTCGTCAAACAACTTCTCTGCTCTTCCAATTTAAATGAAGAGAACGCTGACAATACATTTGAAGCGTGCTGTAAATAATAAATAAAATAAAATTCAAAAAAATATAAAAATAATAATAAAAATTTCTTACCGCTGAAAAAACTTTCCAATGCATTTTATTATAACATTGATTTGGATTTCTAAAAAAATCCTGTAACGCCCAAAATTTTCTATACAAATTATAATCAATTGATATTTTACTCTCGGACAATTCATCAACATTCATTTGATCTGTAATATCATCTGATTTTTCCATTCCAAATTCAGTATGATTTTCCAAATTAAATTCACTAACAATATTTAATCCCGATCTTTCTGAGAATGGAAAAAATTTCGCTAGAAAAAGTAATATTCTTCCGCAAAAAACAGTTTGTTGTGAACGTGAAAGTCTTCTCAAAAGATCATTACACATTCGTAGAAGATTATTTTTACAAGCACCGAAAAACATTTCTTCTTTCCATACAGCAACATTGTTTTCAACGAATGTAAAAAGATTTTCACATCTATCAAGTGTCATTGCATCAAATATATCACCCAATAACATTACAGGAACACTTGCTGTTGCCAAATCTCTTTGGCATAATTCAATACAAAATGTAATATATGATTCAAGTGCCTGTACATGTCCTGAGGAATTTTCTGCTAATATTAACAGTAGAGTATCACGAAGTGCTTGATCAACTGCCGCTTTTCTATCCGATTCATTTACACAATGATCTGTACATTTTTTCACGAATGATGCTGTATCTAATGTTTTAAAAGAATGTTGCAAGTGTTCCTGAAAAATGTAACAAAAAAATGTTTTTTTAATTTTACAGAATATTTTAATGAAATGTAAAAATGTAAATAAATGCAATATAGATAGTATTTATTTGATAAAAAATACAAAATAAATAATGTCAATATAACCTCAAAAACAAAAAATAAGTTTTATTAATAAAATATACTTACGCTATATTCTTTTCTTAACGTTTCGAACATTGCCATAATTGATAATATAATTTTTCAACTTAATTTATTGAATATTCACTGTTTATTATTTAAAAAATTAAAATTTTAGACGTGGAATAACAATAGCATTATATTCAAGGTCCATAACGTCGTCTGCTACTGTCAAACAAGCGCTTGCGTGATTTAGCGCCACGTCGCGGTGAAATTTGTCAGTACTTCTCATTAAAAGGAATTTTATTCTAATTTATTAATTAATATCGAAAAAAGGTAAGAAATTTAACTATTTTTTTGTGCTAATTATTTGCAAGTTATATTAATTTCAAATGTATAATTAATATTGAATTATAATTGATTTTTTTGTATGCCGACGAATTCTAACCTCACTTTTAGAAATGTAAACAAAAATAACATCCCCCAATTAATATATATATTAAAATGCACAGTTAACTATTTATATTTTATTTGTTATTATTATTATTGTAAAGGATTAATTTCTTACAGGTTAGTCTTATTAATAAAAGACAAGATGACAATAATGAAATTTATAATCGGCGGTACATGTGTTACATGGTCGGTATGTGTTTGTTGTTATTTATATAAAAAGTATAAAATTTCCGAGTCAAAGAAAGAAACAAAAAAGACAAAATCTTTGGTACTTTTCTCATCCGAAGAATCAGTAAAGTGCAAACTTCATTTAAAATTTGGTAAACCTTGCGAGAAAATTCACTGCCCGGTTCGAACCATCAAGTAAGTGTAATTTAACTTTAAATATTTAAATTCAATACATATATTTAAAAAACAATTTTTATAATCTAAATCAATTTTTTTTTCTCTTCTAAACTTCTTTTTTAAATATATATATTTTCTTTAATATATGTATATTCTTTTCAGTGAATTAAGAAAAGCAATGTTATCCGCAAAACATTCTTTAGATGTATGCGTTTATTTTTTAACGCATCCTTCTCTAATTGACGCAATTATAGAAGTATTTCAGAGAGATGTGCCTGTGAGAATAATTACTGATGCTGACATGTCGGATAATACTTCGTCAACTGAACACATATATAAATTGCGTAAATTAGGTAATTAGTAAAAATTTAATTCACATTAACTAATAATAGAATTTGTGAATTTGTCTATTAGAAATTTAATTTATTTTTTGAAATTGTTTTAATTTTTTTAATTTATTTAGGCATACGCCTTCGTACTAAGCAGTCTTTTTATTATATGCATCACAAATTTGCTGTGGTTGACAAAAGAATTCTTATAACTGGAAGCACCAATTGGACGAAAAATGGTTTCTTTGGAAATTTTGAAAATATTATTATAACCAATCAACCGGATTTGGCTCAACCATTTGCCGATGAATTTGAAAGGCTATGGGTAATTTTTGATGGTTTATCAAGTGATGAACTTGAAAAAACAATTGTCAAGAATTCAAGGAATTATTGAATTCACAATCAGAAAAAAAGAAAAGACTGTAAATTGACTAATATTTCGTTACACTCTACTTTTGTGGAAACGTACTTTTACGTTTTATTCTTAATTACAAAAGGGTAGATATTTTTATATTTTTTAAGATAATGCAATATTTTTTAGAGTATATTTGTTTATTTTACATAGCAAAATATTTTTTCAACTGTATTTAAATTTAAAACTTAATAAACATTAAATACTCTTTAATTTTCTGTGTAATTTGTTTTTCACAAAACAAAGTGTTTTTTAAAAAAAACAAATTAGTGTCGATAGTCAATTTATTTTGACAGTAAATAATTTTAAAGCAATTTATTGTTTCTACTATATTAATTATAAATCTTAAAATAATTCATTTAAAACGAAATAAAATAAATTTATAATAATGAATGAAACAGAAAATCAAAGATGTTCTTGTAAAATTATTAGAAGTCAAAGAAATTTATCTCCAATTTTCGTTTGGTCTTTTTATGCAGTAAATTATTCTATTTCTGAAATTATTTAAGTTTTTCAATTATTTCTTTTAGATTTTTTAATTTTTCTCTTTGTTAATATTTTAATTGGAAATAATTATAAAAATTTTTAAGGTTACCTTCGTGGGTTTATTAACCTCAATTATAATTATCTTTGCTAAACAAAACAATTCTGAAGACACTGATATTAAAATTCGATTAATGAATATTACTGAACATTTTAAAAATAATGGAAAACTTCATGCATCACTTGATTCCTTAATATATTACAAATCATTTCTTCATAAAAATCCCAAGTTCGAATTTAAATTTTCTTTATAATGATTTAAGTATTCTATTTGTTAATTAATACGGGTCAATAACTTTTTAATTGTCGATTGCTGTTTTAAAATAAAACTTATTTAAAAATTTATTATTTTTTAGAAATATATCATGGATAGATGGAAGTAATGATGAAATATATTATAAGGATCCAAATCTTGATGTTGTGATTTTAAATGTAACAAAAGGTTTAAAAGTTAATTGAAAAAATAATCTTAGGGTTAATTTCGCAATGCCTTCTTTATTCCGTTTTTAAATATTTATTTTTTTGCCTAGTACGAGAAGATTCACAGCGATTGATTAAAAGTCGAATAAATATTAGAGAAACTAGTCAAGATGAATATTTTTTTCACACGTCGTTTAATGATGAGAATATAATAATGTCACCTGATAAACTATATATGGCTATTTTGTCAGACGTACAAAAATCTTTTACAGAATCTCCTAAATATCGAGTAAATATAAAAGAATTTAGGTGAGGAATAAATTTTCTATAATTATATATTTTCTATTTACTAAAAAGCAAGTTTATTTAAAGAAACTAAAAAAAATTTTCTTTTTCAGTTCTGGAATTCAGATGAAAATTGTAAGAAACAGTAATTTTGTATCAGAATTTTCTTTTTCTGATCATGATAATCTCTATTTTTATACCTATAACGATAATGGAAGAGATAAACATTTCAAATGTTTTTTAAATTATGGAGATTTAAACATAACAATGGAATTTTGTCAAACTGAATTCGATTACAGTAAGGTAATTTTTATATACAGATTGTATTTAACTCATTTTAGGGGAATTTAAAATGAACGTAATTAAAAGAATATTAATTTAATATTCCATTTAAAGGAAAGAAAACTTGATTCATCAAATCAGAAAGAATATTGCAATAACGATGGAAATATTGTTCGATGTAATTCCATGATTGATGGAATTTTGTACAAAGAGAATGGAACTGTTTTACTTTATCCAAAAATAAATACCTTTATCTACAATAGAGCAATTACAAAGAACGAGTTAAAAAATTCTAGAAATAAAACAAAGTAAGATTGCAATTCATATTAATTATTCATAAAAAATAATAATTAGTGGCATTTTCTTATTAGAAAACCAGAAATTATATATTTCGGAACGACACGACAACGAACTGATCAAATTAATTATTCTTCTTATCGCAAAGAGTCTGAATATAAATCAATTGAATATACAGTTCATTATCCTGACGAGACTGTCATTTTTTATGGTCTTCAGGGAAAAAATTACTCGTATTATTTTCCTTCGAAGCAAAAAGGATTCTTTATTGAACCGACTTATGGTGAGAAAACTTGAAATTTTAATTAAATTTAAATTTCGTTTAATTAAATTAATTTTTTTTTAATTTTATAGGAATAATACAATTAGATTCAAAACCCTGGGTTCTACATCCATTTCTTTATCATAATGAAACTTCGGGAACGACCACATTTAATATGGCAATATCAACAAACGATGGAATTAATGAAAAATCTCAAGATATGCCTTATATTAATTCATCAACAAGAAATTTTATTCCATTAATTAGTAGCGAATACTATGTTACTAAAATTTTAAATGTTCGTAGAGATGACGAAGGAGGAGATTTGTTTGCTTATTTTTTGGCAGCACCAACAAAAAATGTTTCCAGAAGGTTGTACAAAAAAAAAAGGTTTTTTCTTCAAAGATAATACATAATTAAAGAAGAGATTATTTATTGTCTTGATATCTCTACTAGCAGGAATTTTTATAAAATAAAAATTTCACATGAAACAATTTCAATGGAATCTGTAATTTGTCTAACTTGTCCTGAGGAAACGAGTGATGGTGGTTTAGAAGCTAGTGAAATTTATCCCAAATGTCTTTGGGCTGACGTAAAAATGTCTTTCCTTGGTGATTATTATCTTCTTCATTGCAAGTAATTAATTATTTGCTTTTAGTTTTTAATTATTTTTTATTTCATTAAAAAATTGAAACTCATTTAAAAGTTAAATTTTCCTGATGATTAAAATTTCTCAATTATTTCAAATAATTGCTTGTTTCTTTTATCAAAAGTGATATTAAGGTAAATGATCAAAAATTGAAAATTGAAATTTACTTTTAAAAAATTATTATAAATATAAATTCAATATTTAGAGGACCAGATGTACCTTGGACAGTAATAGTGAATACCCAAACAAATATCGTTTTATTCAATCTAAAGGAAAATGAAGAAATTCGAGAATGGGATTCTTTAGTAACAAAACCACGTGTTCATGAATTTGAATTGGAACTCGAAGATGGTTTTATCGGAAGAATAAAAATGTATTTTCCCATAGATTGGTATCCGACAATTCAAAATTGTCGAAAAACATATAAACTACTTTTACACGTGGACGGAACACCGGAGGGACAATTAGTCAACGCTAAATATCAAATATCTTGGCTTTGGGAATTAATAATAAATAAAAATTTTATAGTTGTTGAGGTAAATTTTTTTTTTTTTTTTTTTGAGGAAATATTTAACGACAATTGAATGACTTTACGAAATTAATAAGTTAATTGATTATTAACTTATTTTTAATTTTCAGGCGGACGTTAGAGGAAGTGGTTATCAAAATATTGAAATTTCAAATTCAATTTGGAAAGAAATAGGCACATTAGAAATTGATGATCAAATTTTTGTGATAAACAATATTTTGACAAAATTCAATTGTATTGATTCTAATCAAATTGCAGTTTATGGAGAGGCTTATGGCGGATATACTGCACTTAATATAATGGCTATGGATAGAAAAAATATATTTAAATGCTGTGCAGCAGTTTCGCCCATTACCACTTGGCAACATTATTCCCATGATTTTGCAATTAAGGTTCAATTTAAAAATCTATTTAAATTTTTTTAAAAATTACACAATCCTGGGTTAATTCTTTTTTAATGTATTTTAAAATTTCTATTTTTGAATTTTTAAATTAATAAATTTTTTTACTATTAGTAGAATTTAAAAAAAAATATAATATTTAAATATAAGTGGATAAAATAATTAATCTTTCTGAATTTCTAGATATTTGGTGGCAAATATAATAATATTACGAAAGAAATTTATGAAAAAGCTAACTTGTCATCAAGAATTTTTGGTCTAAAGGATAAAAATTTTATTATTTACAGTGCAACTATGGATCAAAAAATTCTCAAATATCACGTGAACAATTTTCTAATTGCTTTAGCTGACAATGGAATTCTTTTCAAACATCATCAATATATTGATGAAGGACATGATATTTCAAATTATCGTGTTCATCTTTATAAACATATTGACAAATATTTTGAAAATTGTTTTGCAAAGAGAAACTAATTTTCATAATAAATTTCAAAAATGATAAATCTATCATTATATTAAAAAAAAAGAAAAAAAAATTAATTATAATTTAAATCTAATATACAAAATATTCTATTAAATTTTGGTAGTTAAATGAAAACTAATTAACTAAATTTAATATTAATTTATTAAAATTATATATATATATATTCAAAAGAAAATGCTTTTAAGTATTCAATAGATGTTATAAATTTCCGTTTCTATTCATTATTTAACATGCCGGAGGGTTTAACGTATTGAATACAAAAAATAAGAACGGTTAACCGCTTTTGTCATCCCTGGTGGGGATCGAACCCACGACCTTTGGATTAGAAGTCCAACGCGCTATCCTCTGCGCCACAGGGACTTGGTGATGTCTCATCGCAATGAGTGCATCATCAATTTTGTTTATCCTTTAATCAGGAACGTACAAACAAGGAAAGTAATCGGGCACTGGGTATCTTTCCAATAAACATAAAAATTTGTCCTATACTTTTATAATAATTTTCCTCTGCTTGTAAGATTATTCCTCTTATTATTTTTATTGTTATTGTGATAATTATCGTTATTATTATTTTTGTTATTGAAATTTTTATCAAGGGTAAAAGGAAAATCTTTGTTAATCATTTTTTTTAGTAGCTCATTAAACTTATTTAAATTCAGAATAAATTTTGTTAATTATGTAACAGTTGCAGAATAATTAAATTTTAAATAATTTTACCGGTAAACATAACCTTTTTGTAATGTCAAGATATTTATAGAAAATACTGTTAATATAATTTTAAAATATATAAAAGATGCATAAAATGCATTAATAATAAACAAAATAGTATAAATAAATGGAAAATTATTATAAATATTAGTAAAATATGTAAAAAATAATAGAACAATACCTTTGAGACCGGATGTTGAAATTAACTATATTTAAGATGTGTATTATTAATTTTGTTTCAGATTCAAAATAAATATCACTATTATCAACACTTGATTTCGTTCTAAACTTCACTGTCAACAATAATAAATACTTTTTTTACTCCAAAAAAGAAAAATTTTAAGAAACGCGGTTTTACAATTCAAAAGTGACGTTTGGACTGATTGAGCAATTGTGAATTGTACTTTAAGTTTAAAGTCCTGGACAGCAATCATGAAAATGTGGATTAGGCTTTATGACTCAGGTCAGGTTATGTTAGTTTTGTAAACGACCGTTACAAAATTACAGGTTAGGTGTAGAAACAAACTTTTGTAAATTTTAAAATTCCCAATATTTATAAGTTTTTTAATTAGTAAAAATAATTAGGTTTACAAACATAAGTGAATCTTACGTCAGTGAAATTGTTTTTATTGCTGTAACAATTATAAATGTGCGATTGTGCAATTTAATTCTCAAGTTCGGAATTGTTGACACAATTTTAATTTCTTGTCGATTCAGCTGATGTGTGTGTGTATGTGTGTTGCTGACATCATTTCCCGAGTGTTTTCGCGCTAAATTAGAGTAGAAGACGCGTGGGCATTTGTAAGCGGAGTTGTTGAAATTAGTGGAATTAAAAAGTGGGGTTTATTCTCTTGTCACCTGACCTGACCTGAATTTAGTTTACAAATTTTTTTTTATTCCACTTTGTCTCTGTTAACGAACAGTGATCACGTAACGTGAAAATATTCTGCGATACTAATATATACACGTATATAAAAAATGTCGCAGCCTTCGGTGGCAGCGTATTTCACCACGAGGAAACGTGCTGCCTCCGAGGAGATTCGCAATAAAGCAAAAGTATTATGTTTGGATCAAGAAACAACAACAACAACAAGAAACTCAAGTATTTCACAAGATAAATTTGTTGATTTACAGAAAGAATCATCGACATTGCTTACTATTGTGCCTGAAGATATTTCCAACGAGAATAGTACAAGTCCAAAACAATTTTCCAAAGGTAAAAGTACCGATGTCGATTCACCAGCTGTTAAATCAAATTCTGCAGTGCGAAATATTATTTTCGATTTACAAAAACCTGGCACGCCAAAAACACCAAGAATGAATACAAGAGCTCGCACAAGGTCACGTAAACTCTCCTGTGAGGAAGGTCAAACTGATATTCGTGAAACTTTTATGAAATTCGATGGAACGAGTACAAATAAAAATGTGATTTTCGAAAAGAAGGGCCTACTGAGTCCTAAAAAGCGTCCGAGTTCTTCTAGAAGTCTCAGAACACCGAAGAAAAATGAACAGGAAGCACCAGCCGCTGGTTCTGTTACTCCAAAAAAAACTCCAAGAATTGATGCACCCATAAGAACAGATTTAAATTTCGCTGAGATTAAAAATAAAATTAATCAATCATCAAGACTCGCTGAAATTAAGGAAAGAATTAATAAAATTCGTAATTGCGATGAAAAATTGACTCAACTTCAGGCGCAAAATGATAAGAAACAAGAACAGAAGCCACATATTCAAAAGTTTGATCAAATTCAGTTAGAAATTCCCGTTAGGTAATATTTTATTATTTTATTATTAATTAATTTTTTGATAAATTGTAAAATAATTTAATTTTCTTTTTTTTTTGATAGTCCATCGAAAGCAGCCAGGTCGCCGAGTAAGCTCTTAATGAGTCCTGTGAAAAATATACAGATATTAAAAACAGCCAGCCCTCAACGTCGTTTATTGTTTGAACCAAAAGAACCATCATCAAGTCCTGTTAAAGGAAGTCCAACAAAATCTCCAGCTTATCAGAGATATCAGTCATTAGCCGAAAGTACAGCTCCTGCTTTAGCATTGCCTTATAACTATAGATTCCTTGCAGAAGTTTTCAGATGTATTGATACGGTAAATTTTTTTTATTTTTATATTTAATAATATTTTTTTTTTGTATTCTATTATTCAAAATATTAATTCTTTTTTTCAATTTTAGGTTGCAGCCATGCTTTTTAATCGAAAGGAGAAGATAACATTTAAAAAATTGAAACCTGCCGTTCAAGAATTACTTCGACGTAATTTAAATTTAGATCATATTGCTCAGATAAAAAGTATTTATCCCGATGCATTTGAATTTAATCAAGAGAAAATTCGTAATTTTGGATCAGCTACAAAAGTGCCAACCTATGATCTTGTAATAACACCATCGGTTGAAACACGAAGCGGAAGAAACACTCCAGACGCTGATAATATTCTTAAATCTGGCTCAGAAGTCAGTATGAGTCCAGTTGTTCTATTGGAGAGACGTCGAAAATTCTACAATAATCTTTTGGGTAAATTTTATTTCACTAAAATGCAAAATTCAGTTATTAAAAATACATTTAAAAAATATGTAATAGAAAAATTAAAAAGAAGATATTAATAAACTTAAAAGAGTATTGATAAACAAAATTTCGTTTTTAGACAAAGTTAAGGACGAACACGAGGAGTTCCTGAAAAATTTAGAAACTCCAATGATTGTACCAAGAAGCAAATTGGTTCGCTGGCATCCGGATTTTGATATTGAAAATTGCAAAGCAATTGAAAAAGCCGAATTACCACAACCGCCGAATGTGGAAAAAGCATCATCCGCTAAAAACGTTCTTGGTAAGAGATTCTTTACATGACAATGAAATACAAAAATTAAGGTGACCTAGAATTTTTATTGTCACGATTACAAATTGCATAAGAAATTTTGTAATGAAAACATTGAATCAAAAGTGAAATGTTTGCAAAAAATTTAAAGCTTGTGACAACAGTTTGTATATATATATTTCAGCTTCTTGTCAATTAGCAAATAACTGTCTCATCTGTCTACAGACATAAACGTAACATTTTTAATTTCTTGTCAATTGAGAAGCACGTGGTTTTAATAAGTATTTAAAAAAAGGAACAGAAATGTTAACTTTAGTAAATGGATTTGAATTCAAACTCACTGAGCAAGAAAGAATCAACAGAATTAGTAGGATTTATAAAATAGTTTCTATTTGTATTTTAAATATTTGTTTTATTTATTGCTTTTTTAGTTTTTAATTATTTTAACAATTAAAAATTGCAAGATTGTTTTAAGATAGTTTAAATTTGTTTTTAATTTTTTGAATGAAAATTTAGTTTAATTTTAATTACTTAAATTGTGTATTTGGTTTTTTCAGATAAAGCTAAAAGTCTTTTCAATTGCAATACGCGAATGGAAAAGGCATTGCAACGATTGGCTGATGCAAAAATGACGAAAAATTCAGAATCGTCACCATCAAGTACAGAAATTTTAAATACCGATATTCAAAGTGAAACAAATGCCGAGGGCTTTAAAAAGGTGCAAATTTCAGTTGTGGATACACCTCCTACAACTCCAACTGCAACAACTACTGCCTCAAGTAGCGTCAGTCTCAATCCCGCATTAAAAGGAATACCTAAAGCTCTTTTAGAGAGGGTAAATTAATTTTTTTTTTTGTTTATTTAAAAAATATTAATTATTTTAATTAAATTACTTTTCAAATTTAAAAAAGTATTTTTTTCTCTACGTTTCTATTTTTTATTTTTAATAATCTACTTGTATTTATAAAATTATTAATTTATTTAAAAATATATTTACAGGTCCGTGCAAAACAAGCTGCTAAAGCATTAGAAGCAATGACAAGATCGCCAGCCGCGGATAAAGCAGCAGCGATGCATTTGAGATTACCTGAAATTGCTAGAATTCTCCGTAATATATTTGTGGCTGAAAAGAAAAGTGTATTAACAATGGAATTTGTTCTACAAAAATTAGATAATTCTTATAGAATGAAATTAACACAAACTGAATTGGAAGAGCACATTCGTCTTTTGTGTAATGTCGCGCCAGCGTTTACGAATATTCGAAATGTGAGAATGATCGATTATTTAAAACTCGTGAAAGATATTGATTTGGCTAAAGTCATTAAAAAATTAGAGAGCGTAGCTAATGACAAAATGAAAACTTGATAATAGTGAGAGAATTTGAAATAGTCTCTTTTTTTTTTCTTAAAAAAAATAATTAGAATTTAGCAGTCGATAATTCTACAGAATTTTCTTAAACTAATTAATAAATTAACATATTATCGTATTGATAATATATAATTTGCACGTGCATGATAAACTGAATAAGTTTTTACCATTTTTTTTTTCTTTTTTTTAATCTAATTTACAATTTTTTGCTGGTGTGCCTTACAATTTAATAGTTTTCAGTTTAAAATACACAACGATGAATTTTATAATCTGCAGAAAAAGACTGCAAAATATTTGAATTAAAAGTTTTACCTTTATAAGATTGAGACTGAATTTAATAAAATTTTGAAAAAAAGTATGTACCTCCACTTAAATCAATAAAATTTAATTTTCATTTAAGTAATAATTTGAAATATAGTTTTTTTTTTTAATTTAATAGTTTTTAATTAAAAATATTAGAAAAAATTATTTAATCAATATAAGGAAACAATTTTTTAATTTGAAGTTTTAAATAAAAAAAATATTTTCGAGTTTTTTAAATAAATAACAATAAAGATAGTAAAAATAATACTTGAAATTAAAATATTGGAAGTATTTTCTTTGTTAAAATTATTAATTTCCATTAATAATTAAAAAGTCGTATTCAAAATTTATTGTTTAGTACACAATTTTTATTTAAAGTGGATTTAATAAATTAATCTCAAATTGAAAATAAAAATTCAGTTCATTCAATGCTGGTAGATTTTGAATTTTTTCAAATTTTTAAATTTTTCCCGCGCTTTTATCTGGAAGTACGTTTCCGTCGGGGTTCACACTAGTGATCGCAAAGATTTCAACAGTCAGTGTTGCGCGGTTAAATCGTTTGTAATTATCAAATAATAATTAAAAATGTGCAGTGTTATTAATCATTATCAATTAAAATTCGTTATCTAATATGAAAAATACGTAAGTACAAGTGTTTGCAACTTTGGGAAATTCAGTATAAGCAGAAAATATCAATATTAAAATTGCATTGCTTCCCGCTTTGATTCATGTTTTACGGTCGCTAGAATCAATCGAATGTCGAATAAATTATTATTTTTTCAATATTTTAAGCAAAATTTACAGTATATTTAATCATTGTTGAGTTAATTATGTAAAAAACGGTATAAAAAATGTCAATAATTTGCATTGTTGTATGATAAGGTTAGTTTGTTCAACAAGTTGATTTGTTAACAAATTGCGCGGGAATTGCATTCAGTTTCGTGAAAATTTGCCAACATCGTGTATCAAAAAATTTAACTTTATATTTTTATTTAATTGATATAAAGGATTACAAATATACTGAATTTCTCAAATCTACTAAATACTTGTTAAATTAATTAAATAAATCTTAATTAATTCGTTAATAATTTCGGGTTAATGTTGAGTTAATCTAAAAATAATTCTCAAATCGTGGTTTTGAAATTCGAAAAAGTGAAAGTGTGACAGTGGTGCAAGTGTTAATAATAATTTGTTTAGAACGTAAATTTAAAGATATTAAACCATAAAATAAATAAGTAAACGATTTTTAATAGTAATTAATAAAAATGAATAAATAAATAAAATAAATAATAGTGCAGTGTATTTAAAAAATAATCTGTGGCCAACGATTTTTTATCTGGTAAGAATAAAACTAAAATATTAGTATATATATTCTATTTTTGTAAAGAAAATATAAATATTAATTTTATTGAAATATTTTGTCATTTCAAAAATTCGCGGTATGCGCGTTTCTGCGTCGCAGTAAAAAAATTCGTTCTGCTATTTTAAAAAACACCATTGTTTTGGAAAAGTAAGGGATTAAAATTGCTTATTTATTATTGCATTTATCGTGAAAAAAGGATATTATTAAATTAAAATTATGTTTCTTACTTCATTATTATTAAAAGAAGGGAAAAAGAAAAGCAGGTATTTATTTTGTTTCTTTGAAATGACTATTTCAATACTTGACCATTTTAAGGTTATGTTTTGATTTCGTACTGAAAATTAATTTTGTTTATTTTAAAGAATTTTATGGTATATTATTATTATTATTGAATATTAATTAGTAGTAAACTATTTTATTAATAATTTGTTATACATTTTTATAACTAATATGATAATTGGAAACAATTTTGAAATTACAATTATCAATTTAATGTACTGATGACAATTTGTCGAAACTGCCGGTTAAAATATTTTAATTAGAATTAATTTAATTTTTTTGTTACAGATTCCTTATGGTTCAAATACAAAGTATGGTGAGTGGCCACAGAATTGTGCTTGTGCGCCCTAGGGATGCTGAGAAATTTGAATTAATCAAATTTGATCCATGGAGTGAGTAACATTTCCTTTACAATTATTTCAATATATTTAAATATAGGTTCTTTACTTCTAAAATCGAATTTTATGAATATTTAAAACATTCTTTCAAATAGAAAATCAGAGAATTTTTCACTAATTATTTAAAAAAAAAATCATTTTATTTTGCAGTTCAAAGGGAAGCATACTACAAAGAGGTGAAAAAAATTCGTCCACTTTAAGGTAGAAAAATAGATAATTTACTTTTTAATAAATAAAATATATTGATGAATTGTCTGCGATTATTTGTTTGTACATAATTATCTTAAAAAGAAAAAAAAAATTATAAGTCTGAGAATTTATTCTCATTACTAGAATATTTTAAGTATCCTCTTTAAATAGATGAGGAAATTAATAAGCTTCGTTGTAAAATGATTTTACAATAGATTAATAGCGACGATATTGTTGCATATTTTAAATAAAGAGAAATATGAATTATTTAATTCAATTATAAATAATTAGTGAAAAATTCTTTATATTATCCACATTGTGGTTCGGCTTCACATCCTTGGCAATCGGGTTGATAAACATAACATGTAAAACCTGGTGGACATTGATGTTGTAAGCAAGGATCTTCATAATCTCTCATGTAACATAAATCAGTAGCTGAAAATTTCACAAAATTTATAAAAGAAAATTATTTTCGATTTTTTCTCTATCTAACGAAGAATATTATTAAATAATTCCTTTTTTTATTTCTTATTTAAATTAACAGTTTTTAAAATCTTAAAATAATATTTGTTTCAAATTAAATTTTTTTTTTAAACTCACTCTTTATGCAAATATTATTTCTACAGCAACCGCCACAGCAATTTTCATCATCTCCACACTAAAAAAAAAATATAATTTTACTGAAAAAAAAATTACTTTTCGTAAATATAATTTTAAAATAAATAAATGAAGTACTCAGGGGGCAAAAAACCATGATCGTTCTTAAAAACCTTTTTTAAAACGAACATGGTTTTTTGCCCACTGTATACAGATTAAATTAGAAGAAGAAAAATAATTTTAAAATTCTGTTTTGCAAAGTTACATAAGTCAATTAGTTTCTCTTACATATTGTCCAGGTGTTTTACAGTCCTGACAAAAGACACACGCTGCTATTGCAAATATAATAACAAAAAAAGCACATTTTTTAACTTGTGACATGTTGAGATACTTTTAACGTTCTATTGGCTTTAAGTGTTTCTCGTAGACTTTATATACCTCTGGAACTATCGCTTAATCAAGTCCATCATTAACAAACTTCTCGTTAAAAATATAATATTTTTAAAATCGTTGAATTTTTTTCATTTTACTTTTTTAATTTTCTATAGAATTTAGAAAATTTTTATCTCAATTTCCATTAATTTTTTTTTTTTTCATTTATTTCAATTCAATTATAAAACTTGAATTTCTTGTTGGCTTCTTTTGTAGACGCGTATTCGTTGTAATTAATGTCAAGGTAGAAAAATTATCGTATGACCGGAACCTTAGTAAATAGTTGAAATTGGAAAATGGTACATTTAGATAATAAAGATTAAGATCATTATTGATTATATAAATGCAATTTTAAAAAATATATCTAAATAATTATAAAATCGAAAAAAAATTTCATAAGTGAAAAAAAAAATTCTGAATATTATCTAAATCTCTGTCAAGGTCATTTGTCTTGCGTTATATAGCATGAGGTCCCTCCTTTAGCACTTCAATTACCACTTGGCAAATTATGATAAAATAGAAAATTATTTCTCTACTTATCGTATCATACTTACTTTTCATTAACGATCATTTTAGCACGCAACATTTTTACTTTGACATACCTAATTTTGTAAAAAATAAAATTATTTATTGATATTGTTAATTATAATAATTATTCTCGATTCTTTTTTTTTCTGTCATGACTTCTTAACCTTTTCTGAAACAGAAAAAAAAAATTTCTCCCCTCTCTTTTTTGGCGATATGAAAAATTGTTTTAAAAATGTTTTGACTCTAAATCTTCCGTTAATTACAAATCAATTTGTCAAGACTGTTTTGAAATTAGGTGAAAATAGTGATTCCGATGGATTTAATAGTTTATATAAATGGTGCGATATAAAGGATGCATTTAGAGAAGCAAAACGAATTAGAAAACCGATATTTCTTTTAATTCACAATTCATGGTGTCCGTCGTGCAAGAAATTGAAAAATAAATTTTCAAAATCATTGAAGCTTATTGATCTTAGTAGAAAGTAACTTCACAGTTTTAATCGAAAAAATTTAATTAGTATAAATAATTTTTTTTACAAAATTTATTAATTAAAATTTTTTTAAATTTTCTTTAGTTTCATCATGGTGAAAGTGGAAAATACAGTCGATACAGTGAACAATAGCAAAAAATTTTATCCAGATGGAAAATATATACCAAGAATTCTGTTTTTCACTCCAAATGGTGAATTGATAAGAGATGCTTATAATCGAAGTTCAAATATTGATTCGAAAAATCGTTACTATTACAATAATTCTTCACAAATTATCGACACTATGAATTTTGTATTAAGATTAATTTCGGAAAATGAATTCACGAATTCAGAGGAATATAAAGACAATGAACCAATTAATGAAAATCCAAATTTTCCAAAACCCATTGTTACAAATTAAAAATTCGAATCGTAATTTTTTTTTAATTATAAATTTTTTAATTAATTATCAATGAAAAGAAAGTTTAAAAAATATAAAAAAATTTCTATATAATTTTAATATAAAAATAGAATTTCTTTTTCATGAATTCAATCCTTTGAGAGTTTAGTCAGACAAAAAAAAAAAAAAAAAAAAATGAAATCTACTTTCTTTCACGTTACGTTTAGAGACATATCCGCAAACATTTCTCTTTTCTTTGTTTAATGAGGATTCACATCGTTCTCTGTGTGTATATGTGAATATAGGGATCTCGATCTACTAAAATGATCATTTCCGTGAGAGGGTCGCAAAGATGCAGATAGAAAGACTTGAGATTGGAGACTTGATGCCCTGACCTTAGAAAAGCCCTTTTGGTATCCCTTTGATCCCGCGCCAAGGAACACAAAGTTGTATTATTTCCACCGTCCGGGATTTCAAACGATTTAAGATCCACGAGGCGTAAAATGTGGTGTAGGAGGAATAGGAGGAGGGGGGCAATGGCATTTCACTTTTTCTCTCTTTCACCCTTCAACAGAAATCTTCTTATCCTTTCCCCTGTTTTCTGTGTGTTCAGTTTTCGCGGTAGACCTGTCGTCGTTTATAATGATGTTGCCAATTCAATTTCTCTTCACTATATATATATATATATTGTCGTTTTAGTTTAACGATAAGAATCCCTTGAATGAAACTCGATTTATGTAGAAAAATATTTCGAATTAATTTTTTTGGTTTTGTAAATAAAAACTATATATTTTTTTTTTTTTTATTTTAGATTTCCCGCGTACACCTTTTTAAGGCTTTTACGCTCTCTATACCCCATCTTTTAACCTCACCTTTCCTCCCCTTTTGAAAATCCCAAATTCCCAAGTCCCCAAATTGCGGTCCGTAGCCGACTTTTATTAGAAGTATTCGCATTTGCCTGACCCTTTCTTGATCAGAGTAGAGGGAAACTACGGAAAACCTCTACTGAATACAGCCGGTTTATTGACTGTCGAGTCATGAATGTACATTTAAATAGTCATCCAAATGCACAAACATATCCTCGACGTCAAACCTCCCGCTTAGTATATCTCGATTGCAGCGAAAACACCAGGGCTATAGCGGGTACCGAGGCGGTCACCCATCCAAGTACTAACCGTGCTTGGAAGTGCTTAACCTCGGCGACCGCAAGCCAAGACGCTTCACCGCCCGAGCTATACTATAATAAAAACTATATATTAAAATTAATATTTTTTTAAATAAAGGATTTTTTATTTTAAAAAAAATATATATTAAAATCTTTTGCTATTTTTTAAAGTAATAAAAGAAAGTTGAATTCTTTGATCCCTCGTTTTTTTTTGGAGTTAAAAGCTTAAAGACTTAAAAGCATTTGAAACTCTGGAGATTATTCTCTTTTGTATACGATTACAAAACAAAAGTTCTTTATCGCCAAAAGAAAGTCGTATAAATTAAAAATCACAAATTGTATTTTATGTGAATAATTTTTTTTTGGGAAATTATTTGATAATTAGAAATTATTAGTAAAATTATATGCGAATTTATTTACATGTTTCGCACTCAGGGTTAGATTTAAAAATTATTTTTAAATTACAAAAACAATTTATTTCTGATATAATAATAATATTAAAAATATTAATAATATTATTGTCGTATTTTTTTCTTTCATTTTTTATAAAGAGTAATATTTTTTCGATTTTGGAAAACGGGTAAAAAAAATAAAAAACACTTTTTAGTTAATTAATTAAATTAATTAATAATATTATTTATTTTATACATTTATTTATAAATAATTTTTAATTTTTAAATTAAAATAATAATAAAAATAATAATAATAATAATAATAATAATAATAAAAACATTTTTAAATAATTTTTTTTCTTTTTTTTTTATTAATAATTTAATTTAATACATCAAAAAGTGTTTTTTACTTTTTTACCTGTGTTTTAAAGTCGAAAAAATTTTACTCTATACTAATAACATTAAGAATAATTAATATGAATAATATTAATAATTAGAAGTTAACAAACAGTTTATAAATTACGAATACAAAATTATACAGAAAATTTACCATATTTTGTTTTAAATAATAAAAAATCCTTTATTTTATAAAATTGAAATAATTAATGTTAGTTATACTCTATAGAGTTTAAAAATCGTATTTTAATGAAAGGAGTCTTATTTTAAGTTGCAAAACATTTTAAGAAAGCTTTGTTTAATTTTTCAAAGTGCACTGAAATAAAATTAAATAAAATTAAAAAATTTATTTCATTAAAATAATCAATTACTTGACTATTATCAAATGAATATTTACTTGAATCAAAATAATTTTTATTTAAATTAAAAAAAAATTGTATTTGAACCATTAATTTTTGTATTTGAAACAAAATACAATTTAATTGAGTCAAATATAATAATTATTTAATAGAAATAAATATTTATTTGATAAAAATCAAGTAAACGATTATTTGAGCCAAATAATTTTTTTTTCAGTGTAATATTAAATTATTATTATTATTATTATTATTATTATTATTATTATTAAAAATAATATTTAATACAAATAAATATTTATTTGATAATAATAACTGATTATTTGAATTAAATAATTTTTCTTTTTTAAATAAAAATTATGATATCGATTTTATTTTTATTTTATTAGATAAAAATAAATATAATATTTAGATAAAATAAAGTAAAGAATAAAATAAAAAATAAAATAAAAAAATAAAATAAATAATATCTTTATATAAAAAATGAGCAGTAATTGGTATATTTAGGGCTGATTAATTTAATAATTTTGCTCATTAATATCAGATTTTTTTTTTTTGTATATTGCAATATAAACATAATGGCGAACAAATGAATTTTGTCAAAGAAAAGCTAGTCTCGTTTCATTTACTCTCTTTTTCTCTTTGAGTTCAATAAAAATCACAGTTTAATTCACCCAATACCCTCTTGAATATAATATATATATATTTTTTTTCTACATTGACTCGCGGAAATATAAATGCGCATTCCGCTCTTTTATATATCGTTTGAATGAAGTATAAAAATTTAAAAAAATAAAGTATACAATGCTCGTACCATATATATACAACTATATCATAAGCTTATGTGTCAAGTGGTATATTGCACAAGAGAGCCATATATACATATATATATATACACACAGCCTGAAATATAATAATATAATTTCTGTTTTTATACATAAAAAGCAAAATCGTTAATAGTCTGTGCTTGGGTCGAAAGCTTGTCTGGCTTTTGAGTTTCAGTTTCCTCACGTTCAAGGGTGTTTGCTCGCGAGTTGTTCTTTGCTTATTACAGTGTGCACTATGTGCACTGAACCCAAGTTAAGTACAAGTGGCTCGCCGCTAATTAACTACGTTATATATTTTTCATAATTCTCTCTTTCTCTTTTCATCATTCTCTATATTTTACCTTTAAACCAACTTTCTCACTCCTTTTCTCTCGTGATAAATACAGTCGGTTAAATACTCTCGCATTTGCAAGAGAAGTAGAAACCTCAATAATAAATTCTACGCTTTTTTTACATGTGTATATTCTAATACATACGTGACATTATATATCTCTCTCATATAGGGGAAAACAGGTATTTTTATATATGTCTCTTGAAAAATCAGGTCGAGAAAAATATTTCCAATATTTGATTTTTGAGACTTAATTTTTTTTTAAATAATGTATATTATTTATAACTAGCAAAATTAAACGCGCGCCAAATTGAGTATTTAATTGTTTGTTATAAAGAAATTAAAGATTAATATTATCAATAATAATTTAATTTATTAGAATATTATTACATATTAAAAAATAATAATGAAAATTATATATTTACAGGCCTCGGATTATACGACTTTTTTCAAAAATACGACTTTTATCGACTTATTTTAATAAAATGCGACTTATTTTTTACATTTGAAAAAAAATGTAAATAAAATACATTTTTTTAGTATAAAATGTAGATCTTCTTCAGATCTTCTTCAATTCAATTATTTAACAAATTTTGAACTAAAATGATTCTTCACTAAATTAATTATTTTTAATAATTTTAATGAAATACATCACAAATTCAATTATATCAAAATTATTTTTCAATTAAAATTTTTATGAAATTTAACAATTGTTTATAATTTAAAAAAAATATCACAACAAAATTGAATTATTTTTCAAAAATTTCAATTTAAAATAAACTAAAATTCAATTATTATCCGAAATTTTAATTCAAAATCAATTAAAAATCCAATAATTATCCAAAATTTTCAATTTAAAATTTAATTATTTACCAAGTTTTCAATTTAAAATGAAGTAAAATTCAATTATTTTCTAAAATTTCTATTCAAAATTAATTATCCAAATTTTCAATCAAAAATGAACTTAAATTAAATTATTATTCAAAATTTCAATTAAAATTCAATTATTTCCCAAAAATTTTCAATTTAAAATCAAATAAAATTTCATTATTCTCAAAAATTTGAATTCAAAATTCATTGAATTTTCAATAATTTGAATTTAAAAGCATCTAAAATTTAATTATTTCTAAAAATTTCCATCGAAATTTTTTTTTTGAAATTTCATAATTTCAATTATAACTCTAAGGAAATTCAATTATTTTTAACTATTTTAATAATATTCTTTGAAAATTCAACTATCTGAAACCATTTTTCAATTAAAAATGATTTTCAAATTATTGTATTTTGTCCGCATTTTCTAATAAATTTTTAGTGAAATCATCTAAAATTTTAATTACAAAACACTTAAAGTTTCAATTAATTTCAAATATCTCAATTTTAAATCTTTGAAAATTCAATTAAATTTAAAAAATGTTTGCCAAAAATTGTTTGATAAATTATTTTTAGTTCTGTAAAATTTAATAATTGGTTGAAAATTAACAATATCTTTTGAAATTTAATTATTTCTAAAAATTTCAACTTTAACCCTTCGAAAAGGATTATTATTAAAAAAAAAAAATTATTTAAAAATCTGTAAAATATTTTTGTTAAAATAAAAAACAAATCCACTTTTTTTGGAATATAAATGGACTAAAACGATTTTTTGTG